ACCAGACTTGGACCCTTGTACCTAGACCCCCCAACTGTTCGGTAGTTGAGTGTAAGTGGTTGTTTAAGGTTAAGGAATAACCTAGTGATGTTAGGTTTAAGGCTAGATTGGTTGCGAAAGGGTTTACTCAAAAAGAGGGGGTAGATTATGCAGAAATCTTTGCTCCTGTTGTTAAATTCACCACTATTCGTATGATGCTTGCTTTAGTTGCTCACCATGACTGGGAAATGAAACAAATGGATGTAACTACTGCATTTTTGCATGGTGAATTGGACAAAACAATTTATATGACCCAGCCTGAGGGCTTTGTGGATCCCAAGAGAAGTGAGCATGTTTGTTTGCTTAGGAAGGCTTTGTATGGCCTGAAGCAATCCCCTAGGCAGTGGAACATCAAATTTGATAAATGCATGATATCTTTGAAGTTCCAGAAATCTGTTTGTGATCATTGCCTGTATTTCAAAAATACTTCTTCTGTGCCTGTATTTTTGTTACTCTATGTGGATGACATGCTGATAATTAGTCCTTCTCTGAATGCTATTAAAGATGTGCAGAAATGTCTTTGTGCGAGTTTTGCCATGAAAGACCTAGGTGATGCCAAGAGGATCCTAGGCATAAACATTGTTAGGGATAGGAGTAAGCGTACTCTTACTTTGAATCAGATTTCTTACATAGAAAAAGTTTTGAGTAAATTTAATATGTTATCTGCTTCTCCTGTTAATGTCCCTATGGCATCTCACTTTGTGTTAAGTAAGGACCAGTCTCCCAAGACTGCTCCTGAAATTGAGAAAATGAAATCTGTGCCTTATTCCAGCGCAATAGGGTCGGTGATGTATCTTATGGTTAGCACTAGACCTGATATTGCATATGCGGTTAGTTGCTTGAGTAGATATATGTCCAACCCTGGTTTGCCCCATTGGAATGCTCTTAAGTGGTTGCTTAGATATCTGATTTCTACTGTGAAGCATGGATTAATTTTCTCTAAATGTGCTAGTGGTATTGAATTGATTGGTTATGTTGATTCTAACTATGCAAATGATAGAGATAAGAGGAAGTCGACCACTTCTTATGTTTTTACTTTGTGTGGCTCTTGCATTAGTTGGAAGTCTCAACTACAGCCTATTGTGGCCCTTTCTACCACTGAGTCCGAGTATGTTGCAGCCACAGAAGCGTTTAAGGAAGCCATCTGGCTCAAACGCCTTGTCTCCGAAATTGGGTTTCTCAAAAAGGGAGTTACCATTTACTCAGATAGCCAATCGGCTATCCAACTTTGCAAAAATCCTGTATTTCATGATAGAACTAAGCATATTGATGTTAGGTTCCATTTCATACGTGATATTGTTGATGCAGGTGGAGTCAAGCTGTGCAAGATCCCGTCCGAGTTTAACCCCGCGGATATGGGTACCAAGTGTCTTTCTGCTGAGAAGCACTTGTCCTGTAAACGCGTGTTAAACTTTGAATGTGGATAACTGTGGGTTGCCTAATAAAGTGTTTGCCCCTTTGTGTCTTTTGATATTCCGGGTGACCCGGCGATGATGAGTCTTGTCACAACTTTGTATTGTTACTCTACACCACCTAGGACCAATAAGGTGGAGAATGTTGGAGGTATTGGTCTTACCAAGGCCTCCCTTCCACTTTATTTGTTGAGGCTTGCACACTCTATTTTACTCTCTTTTGGATATCTTTACTTTGGTATATATCCTGATCAAATATATACCTATTTGAGTGGTTGACTTACCCACTTGGCTGTCCCCTTTGTTTGCTGTCCACTGCAACCTCTTTGTCTTGGCTCATACATGTGAACTTCTCTTGTTTGAGCAGCATGTGAGTGTCTTTTGTTTTAACCTCACCCGTGACTTCCTTGGCAGCCTATTTGTACCCCTTGCTTCTCCCATTGTGAAGCAGCCTGCGAGAGTAACACTTCCAGAGAGCAGAGCTCACTTCTTCTTCCTCCTTTGTGTGAGTGTAGAGAGGTCTTAGTGGAGAGTTGAGATATTGTGTGTTATAGTTTCCTCCTAGAGTGGTGTGTGAGAGTGTGTGTAGATAGACCTGAGCCGGAGACGGATAAACGGTCCTTACACTGTTGATACAATCAAGGTACTCATTCATCCTGAAATCAGGAATCCAGAATTCAAATTGTCTATTACACCATCTTGGAAACTTTCCTCTTCTGAGGATAAAATTTATGGAAAGAAAATAATTTATTGTCCTCTTCTATTTTCCTCTCATTTGAGATTGAAAAAAATGAGGGAGAGCTAGAGAAAAATTGTTTTACTTCGAATTCTTATTTCTGGAGAAGATAATCACCTGATTATGAGGTAAACATAGTACATTTATCATGGTTAGTGAACTTTACATTTTCTCTCCAACTTGGAGGGAGAATGTCTAGAGGAAAGTTCTGTACTTTTCTTTCTTTATATCAATTCTTTCTGAAACAAGAGAAAAACAAAGTTCACTCTTATTTTACGGCCATGCTATCTGTGATTCTGTGGTGAAGGAGTGTTTTTGGACAGGAATCTCATGATATTTAGGGTTGTTTGGAACTCAGAAATACTAGGGAAATGAAATATGGATGATACTAGAGAGAGAAATGGAGGAACCGAAAATTTGGGGTGAAATAAAGGGTAGACTCAGACTCAGTGAATTTATTTCAGATATCTTTTCAAATTCATGTAATTTATTTTTATCTATCATATAACTGCCAAAATAATTAGTCATATTTCGTTCTCCTTTGCATTTTCTAAAGTCAAGCCATTCATTAGTTAATAATTGTCCTTGCTCCTTACCCTTGCATTTTTGTGATCCAAACAAAAAGTGAAATTTGAAAATACTTTGTAATGGCTTCAAAAATTAATAAAAGTTTTATGAGATAGGGCATTTGTTTTATAAGACATGCACCTTCCTCATCTTTTTTTTTTGTTCTTCTGTAAACGTGGTTATCAGACAAGAGTACAATCCACATCCAGCCTTACATTTCCCCAAATCATTTCAAAGATCCCGAAATTGGAGTGCAATGATTGTACCGAGGGTCTATTCCCCCAATTATCTGGCTAATTAAATCCCCAGTTATCTGAGTGCAGTTTTGTACACCCTCACTTAGGGATGGACTCGGGCCGGGCGGCCCGGCCCGGAACCAGCCCAGCCCGGTTACTGTTTGAACCGGCCCGGCCCGGGAACCGGTCCGGGGGGCGGTTCGGGTCGGCCCGGCCCGGTTACTGTGCGGTTCGGGCCCGGGCCCTTTGATTGGCGAACCGGCCCGGCCGGTTCGGGCCCGGTTCGGGCCAAATTAATTTTTCTTTTTTGGAATTTTTTTAAGCTTTTGGGTTGGGCTTGATATTTTGGGCCATTTGAGGTAATTTGGGGTGGTTTGGGGGTGAGGGGGGGAGGGTTGGGGGTTAATTAGGAAAAGCCAAAAAAAAAAAAATAGAACCGCGGCCCGGCCCGGCCCGGACCCGGGATTACCCGGGCCGGTTCCGGGCCTCCCATTTCTGAACCGAGGCCCGGCCGGGCCCAAGCCCGAACCGGAACCGGTCCACCCATACCCTCACTAAGGAGGGTGATGTTCACCCCCTTTGCTCTATGATTGCCATGTGGCATTCCATCTCATTTTTTTCCTTAAAATGTTATAACTTTTTTATTTATAGTCTACTTTTTATATAAAAAATATATCAGATTTTTTAGTTTTTTATGATCTTTCCAATGATATCAATTTTGTATATATAAAAATTTGAAGAAAAAAAAACATTTATTTCTAAAATATCTATTTTTAGTTGATTTTTTTTAAATTTTTTATATGCAATATTAGTATCATATGAAAGATTGTAAAAAAAGAAAAATTTTGATTTTTTTTTAAAAAAACGGATTAAAAAAGAAAAAGATAAAACAATTACCAAATTGTGAAGTATTGTCTTGCCACATGGCAAACAAATAGGGGTGGGGATGAACATAACCCTCTCAAATGAGGGTGAACAAAATTGTTCTCCAATTATTGGAGAACAAAATTAGGGGTGGGGGCCGCAATTGTTGGACAGTTTTCAAGGCTGTCAAGTAAATTAACTCCAATAGTGCTATAGTAGTGTTGATTTTTTACGCCGCATGTCCTAGTTCCATTCTACGGATGGAGTTATAAGATACATTCAAAAACGTAGTTGGAGGGAAAAAGCATAAAAAAAACCACCCAATGACGATAACTCGCAGAGCCGAGCTTACTTGGAGGCCAATGAGGCGAAGGCCTCAGGGCCCCAGAAAAAGTTAGAAATTTAAGGCCCCAAAATTTAAAATACTTTCTATTATATATATATGTGTGTAAATTTAGGATATAAATTGGTTCCCTTGTTTTACCTTTATCTGCTGCAACCCACAAAGCTGACCATTTCAAAATGCTTGGGATGGATTTGAATTTGCAGAGTGGAACTCTTTTTCTAGCTTTAAAAATTTCCTTTTTCAGATATTTAAATTTTAAAATCATTTTGTTCTCGAATTTGTTGACAATAATTTTTTATTTATCACGTTTGTTTAGCTAATATTAGTTTATATGTGTGTAAGAAAATGTTCATGTAAGGTGTTCATGTAAGATTTTAAGGTAGGCCTAAAAAGTTGTAATATTAGGCCTCTTTCATTTGAGCTACTTCCAAATCGAATTTTTTGATGAAATTTGGTGAGCATGTCTCCATGAAATGTAGATTATGTCCACAGTCCACTGAAGTTTAGATTAAAATTCAATCGGGAAGTTAGTGAAATAAAATTTTGAAAACTGCACAGTTTTTAGGCCTAAAATTGCAGTTTTTTTCAATAAATTATTTAAATAACTTTCCGATTGAATTTTAATATGAAATTTAGTGCACATAACCTACACTTCAAAAAGAACATGCTCACAAAATTTCATTGAAAAATTCGACCTGGAAGTACCTCAAATGAAAGAGGCCTAAGAATTATAACTTTTAGATCTACCTTACATGAACATTACCTTGTGTGTGAGTAATATTAAACAAATTACTTATTTTAAAACAATTGTTATATAAGCACATAGTACAATAGTATAGGCATTTAACATAATTAGTTATTGTTTGTGATGTTTAATATTTAACATAAAAACAAATTAGACTTACGAAATATTATACGGAGTAATCTATTATAGTCTACATGGCCTTCTGTGAAATTCGACTCAGGCCCAAATTAAGATAGGACCGGCACTGATGATAAGTTACAAAGTTACAAACATCATCAGTATCTGAAGAAATGCCCTTCTAATGTTCTCATAGCAGTTGAGGCTGTTGAGCATTGCATCAAGAAACCATGTAAAGAAAATTAGTTGGAAAATTTATGAAAGCTAAAGTTCATGCAATAATAAATTAGGATTCTCGAATGAAGTATATTATATACCTAAGGCCTGTGGGGTGGGGGGGCTTAAAGAGGAACAGATCCATAAAAGACGACTTGTGCAGGGCCAGTCATATAAACATGGTTGTCATCCTCCTTCCACTCTATCTCAAGTGGTCCGCCTGGTAAATTTACAGTGCACCTCTGTTTCAAGGAAGAACCACCAGTAAGGCAGTAATGAAGACCCAAAGACACATAGAAATACAATCATATACGGAGTACAAAACTATGTCAGTAATGTACAACACTTCTCAAGTTTTATGAAAGTTAATTTCGAAGAATTTTGCAAGTGATTGATTAACATGAATATGACTAAATGAAAGTAAATACTCTTGACTGGGCTTTCGCGGACAAAAAACATCTTTTGGACAGAGGAAGTAACTAATAGAACTTTGAGCTACTTCCAAAAAGATGAACTCATATGAGGATTTACTCGTGCCTTATATGTTGGTTTACAATTTATATTGTATGTTTATATTTACTAAAAATGACAAAAATAAAACCTCTGGCATTTAACAGAAAAAATAGGCCCGCTTTGGATAAATCCAAAATAACCAAAATAGGACCATTTTATCTCAAACCCTGATTTCGTTCCTTTTTTCTGTATCACCACAAACTCACAAGTCACAACTGTCAGTGCCCTCATTAACCGCCAGAATATTCCACAAAGTCACCATACAATTCATCAAAACAGATCTGTCACAGTGACAATGACATGTGCTTGTATTACTGGTGATGGCAGTCTCTGATAGTGTCATAATAAAAGTGACATATTTAGTCTCTTCTTCAGAATAGTAGAAAAGCAGATTTTTTCTATGAGGATTGTTTTAATATTGAAGGGGAAAAACTCTTCAATTAATGTGAGATAATTAATAGCCAACATATTGGGTATGTGTACTTCATGGCAGACTCTCGAGGTACGAAAATGAAAATCTAATTTGTCTATTTTTCTTATAACCCATTAATGGAAACACATACAAGTATTGGAATAGCTTAGGTAACTTACCCTTGCAGCACGACCCTCAAGCACGGCAGCAACAACTACTGCACAAGCTCCAGTTCCACAAGCCAGGGTTGCACCTTCCATTCAAGCACACAAGAAGTGTTAATTTAAGAGAGTTTTAACTTTTAAAAAGAAAAACCGTTCTTTGAATTGATATGCACGGCACATATCTTACCTGCCCCGCGCTCCCAAACACGCATTTTAAGGTGTGCAGGAGACAATACTTGGACAAATTCTGCAGAACCCAAACAGTGTGTGTCACAGTTGGTAAAACCCCAATTTCAACCAGAAATTAAAACAAACTTGTTAATTAACTACATAGAAGTTATATCTAGACATAAAGCTATATATCTATGACCTCATACATGAACAAAATAACAGTGCGTCGAGTGAGGCTTGAACTTACCAGTGTTAGTTCGTGCAGGAAACATAACATGATTTTCAAACTTTGGGCCTATATCTGCCAAGTTTATCTCGTCCACTTGCAAATCCTTGTGTATCAGAGAGATAAATTGAGTACAATAACCAGATATGGACTACAAAATGAGCAGATCTGATCCGGCCAAAGCGAGAAATGGTTATTGTATACCACAAGCTACTAGAGGTCACAATGTCTCACAATCTAAAAGGCAAGGTTGAGTATACTACAAATGTATAGGATTTTAATCAACCTAGGTTCTGTTTGGGTGGAGGGTTTTGGAGGGAAAGGCCTTATGGCACCTCGTCTATAATATATATCTTGATTTTAATATGAAATTAAAAAAAATGAAAGATTAACATGGTATGCGACCTTATAGCTCTTTGGTCCCCTTGCATTTGCTTTTAGAAGTACACTACTTATCAAGATAGATTAATATCTCCAAAGACTTCCCCCCAATCCAAACAGACCCTCAGTCTTGGAATTAGATATCTGCGCCACTTATCAGAAAACATGCAGATCAATGCAAGGGGTAATGGGGTATACGTACCTCACTTCCTGTACCAAAAGTAACACAATGAGGATTTCCCATGCTAACGCATGTAACATTCCAAGTATTTCCATCCACAACCAGACCTCCTTTAACAACAGCTTGATCTCTGTTTGCTGGTAATTTTGTGGGGACGTCTGATGCCTTCAGCACTGGCTCACCCATGTCAACCCTAACCTGAAACTTGTAATATTAGTATATCTAATATATAATGATGATAGAAAGTATCATACAAATGCAAAAAAGGGGTCAAGCATTCTATCCCAAATAAAATTAGCCTAGAATACTATATGTCAAGAACTCAAGCCATTGAGTAAAGAGTATCAAGGAGGGAGGGAGAGATCACCTTTCCATCTTCTTGCATCTCAGGAATGATTAAGCCAGCTCCCGTGTGTACGGTGAAACTACATTAATGATAATAATAATAAGAGAGCAATACCGATAGGCACTGGGCCGTTTAGTGCTAATAATAATAAGTGTTAATAATAATTGTAAGGAGTATAAATAGAAGCTAAGGGAGTAATAAGAGGTTAGGCAGAACTTGGGACTTTGGCTGGGAACTGGGAGTGTGAGACTACTCTAAGTCTCTCAATTTTTCGTTTTCTTCCTTACTTTTTTCTGCTTTGTACGTTATCTACGCTAGTCTGCCATTGTTAGAGCTTCAGGATTCCTATTTCCAGATTTAATATAACAGCAAATTGTTCGCTCCTGAGCTGGTGAATGAGATTTAACCAATCTCAGATGGAGAATCACTGGGATAATCTCGAGCAGAAGATAGATCGTGACATGGAGTGAAACACCACTGAGCTGCAATCCATCATGGAGGAGATGCGCAATATGCACGAAATGATAGCCGAGCTGCGCCAACTGGCAATGAATAAGAATTGTCAGAGAACCAAGGGACGATCTCGAACTTCTAGATGATGCCAGGGCTCAACGCAATCGAAGCTAGCCGCTCCTCACCAGCCCTCGTCGTCACAAACCGTTTCTTGAAGTTCGCAGGTTTCTTCTGAGTCTCTAGCCGCGTCTCACAGTTCCAAACTTCCAGTTCACCGTCATTACTCGTACCTCACCAATCGTCATCGCGAGAGGCTTCTACCAGTTCACAGATAGCATCTCAAGCCGCGTCTCACATTGCGCTAGCTTCAGCGCCAGCGGAGTTCTCCAGTTTGCAGACTGTGTCGCAGTAAGAAATCACCAGTTCGCAGTCACTTGCGTCTTTGTACACCGCTACTCAACATGCTCAAGTTTCTCCGGAATTGAAAACTGAGTTGAAGCCAGCTGCCCCAACACCTTCACAACAGAGCGAAGTTGACACTCTTCCTCATCAGGAAAGTACTAGTCCAGAGCACACGGATGCAACCTTGGAATGGATCAACAAGGACACAGGAGAGGATAAACAAGGCTGGTCTCACAAAATTCATGCACGGGGATTGGGTGACAATGGATTTTGTGTACCGTCAATCATCACACATTACTTTGGAATGGCTGAACAAGTTTGATGGCTTCAGAATTGATGGCTTTACGTCCATGATGTATAATCATAATGGGTTGGGGGAGGATTTACTGGGAACTATAAGGAGTATGGTGGATATGTTACTGAATTTGAGGCTAACGTGAATCTAATGATCAATGATCTCAATCATGATCTAAGTTTGTATATTTGTTCAAGAGGGAACTGTAGGTTTTGACTACCCGTCTCATATTACTATTGCTGGTAAATGGATCAAGATACTTCGAAAAAAAATAAGGATGGGGAAAGGGGTGACAGTGCTCACAAGCTTGCTAATAGCAGATGGAGAGAGAATAGTTTTGCTTATATTGAAGGTCAGGGCCAAGATCCTGTGGGTGCAGGTGTTGTCTTAGTCCTGAGTGCCTTGGAAAGGAATTTGTTGGAGGATGATCCACAGAATATTGCATTTGAAGAATCAGTTTTCACTCAATTAGATACCGAGCTGGGGATGATAGTAAAGGGTAAAGTTATTACTGTTGACAGTTTTGTGCCATTTTGCAATTTGCAAGTGGCATGAAACTATGAAAGCGATTTGCCATCTACGACATATGTTTGAAATTGAAATAGTAAAGCCGGGGAAGAATTTGCAGGTGGGGCCTGAAATAGTCTGTCGTGTGATGTGTTGCAAGTCCAAAAGGATTACAGTTACCCAAAAGAAAGCTCTGGTTAAAACTAAACATGGAAGACTCAGCTCATACACTGATGCTACTGAAGGACTAATGACACAGGGATGGATGAAGATTGAAAAGCATGGTTGCTTTGTTCGGGTCTACAATGGAGTGCAAGGTTTGGTTCCACGGTCTGAGTTTGGATTAAATCCTAACTCTGAAATAAACTCAAGGTATCAGGTGGAGCAAGTTGTTAAATGCAGAGAGGTCAGTTCTAACCCTGCAGCAACACGAATCAACCTCAGTTTTACAACAAGACAGATGAGGTTGTCCGAGAATGCATTGATTTAGTTACTACTGATGCTGCAATTTGTTGAAAGGAATGATTCTTCCAGAACATTTATACAATCATAGTAATCTGGCTGGGTTAAGGAAGTTTATATTGAAGCATGGTTTTAAAATTTACCAGCTTTTGGTTCTTGATGTTGAAGGTTGCAATTGGGTACTTTCTGCCAACTGCCAAGTACTCACTAATCAGCACATCTCAACATCTTTCCTTGGAGTCCTTAGCCATTCAACTGATGTTTCATGTAGTCGAGAATGCTTTCTTTCAGAACATAAGATTGTCAAGTTTCTGCATTGGAACTCCTCAGATTTTGGACTGAAATGGGCTGATAAGTTTGCTCTTGGTAGCATTGTTGAGGGAAAAGTTCATGAAATAAAAGAGTTTGGTGCTGCTGACAATTTTAAGAATCGTGGTGATGTTGTTGGCTTCATTTCAGAATATCAGTTGGGTGGAATAAATGTGAGTCTGTCCTCTACTATTCCAGCTGCTGTAATTGATGTCTCCAAGATAGAGTACCCTGTGGATTCATATTTAAAACCAAAAAAATTTCAAAAGCGAGAGCTGTTTGTTGTGATGCAGCAGGTTGTAACTTATCCTCCACGGAATCTGAAAGAATCAAGTTCCTGGAAAAGAAGTTGGAAGAAAAGCAAGGGGTACAACAAGAGAGGTTGTTGTTGGGATATTATAACCTTTATAATATTCAGGAGCATTATGCCTCCATGTCCTTGCTGCTGTTTCTTCCTGCGGTGAAGTACATGTGGAAGAAGATTCAAGTACTGAAGCTAAAGGCCCAGAAATCAGTGATGTATTGGGAAGGGAGAGAAGCCAGGATGAAGATGAAGTTGAAGGTCAAGGTTGTTTCCTATCACCCACCTTGAGGACAAGGTGGTTGTCTAAGGGGGAAGATGATAGGCACCAGGCCGTTTAGTGCTAATAATAATAAGTGTTAATAATAATAACTGTAAGGGAGTATAAATAGAAGCTAAGGGAGTAAAATAAGAGGTTAGGCAGAACTTGGGACTTTGGCTGGGAACTGGGAGTCAAGACTACTCTAAGTGTCTCAATTGTTCTTTTCTTCTTTCCTTTCTTCTGCTTTGTAAGTTATCTACGCTAGTCTGCCATTGTTAGAGCTTCAGGACTCCTATTTCCAGATTTAATATACAGCAAATTGTTTGGTCTCTATTAAATACAATCACCCAAAAGTCGCTCATATGAAAAGGTTACCTTTGTGCTTTAGTTAAATGCCATTAAACTCATGCAAGAGTGACGTTAATAGATATTACTTCCGATTTCTATTCAGCAAAATTTATTAATTGAAAGTAAAAATTACTTTGTAACGCCAAACTCTAACTATCTAACAATGTCCTAACAAGTTTATAATGGAGATATGGGGAGAAGTAAACAGAGAGCATACTGTACCATGTACCCAAAAAGGCAATAACAGAAGCATAATGAAAGCATACCTTTGCTTGCCATGTAAATTCTCAAGCTCACATATAAATTTGGTAAAGCATCGAATTCCATTACCACACATCTGCATATAAAAAGACCTCTATCTCACGTCCTATACATGTAAATGCAGTTCAAAAATTCCAATTCAAGTTTCACACCTTAAAAAGAAAAAACATAGACAAAGTGTGACTTCTATATACTCCCTCCGTCCCATTCGACTTTGCCAATTGTTTTTTGTTTGTCCCAAAAACTTTGCCACTTTCTTTTTTTTGTCCCAAAAACTTTGTCACATTCCTTCCAAAGTAAATAATTTATGGTTCTGTTTATTTCTCTCTCCTATTTCTCTTATTTCACACCTAACACATACTTGGCGATGTCCAATGGGACGGAGGAAAGATACCCTAGAAACTAATATCTCTGACTAAGAATTACACACATTACCTCAGGCTCACTACCATCAGAATTGAATATCCTCATGGTATAATCAGTCCCGTTGGTACCAGGCATTGTAAAAATCACACCATCAGCACCAATGCCGAAATTTCTATCACACAGTTTCACAGCCTGCTCGGGAGTGATTTTAGGTTTTGCTGAATCTCTATTATCAACCTGCAAGCAAACACTCAGCTCAAGTAACATTGCTAACCAAGCAATTCTTCATTAGCAATACATATGAAAGTCACACATCTGTTTCCTTTTCTGTTGCTTGGATGAAAGGATCAAGTTACGTTCACTGTGACTGTTTGGCATCTTACGATGTGGCAATAATATAATTTATTGGTCACCGATCAATTATTGAATTACAAAGTACAAAATAAGGAATATCTTGATGTAAGAATGTTTCTCAAGTCCTCGTACTGTTTTTAATTTGACACCTCTTCTAAGGAGATGGTTTGTAGAGATAAATGGCTAAATGGTAAAGCACATTTTCTTAAAAAATTGTAAATTATCATCCCGAGTAAAAGATAGACATAGGATATGAGTGATCTAGAATTTGAAGGCTATGGATTGACTTAATCGCTTAATGAAGTTCATAAATACAAAATAGATATAGGATATGATTTCTGTACTAGATCAAGGGGTTGATTAATCTGTGCCACAAGTAAAAGTATTTTCAAATTGTGAAATGGTGAACTAGAAACCAGACCACTTTGGGGTCATTATTTCTCCTGAGGTATGTGGTGAACAATTGAAACTGGGACAAGCTGCTTTAAGCTTTTTTCCCTCTCTTTTGGTTATTGTTTCATCTAACTGGAAAGGACTACAGAGTACAATCCTACAACTGCTAGAGAACTCAAAAGATTGTTTCCATATGAGCCAATACAGAAAATTAGCATTTACCTACAAGCATTAAAATATTCCACTTATAATAAGAATAATGAGCATTGGTGGAAATATTAACACAAAGAAACTTTGTAGTAATGTGTCGCACACAAAAATAGGGGTGTTAACAAACTGATCCGAGCCAGAATAACCTCAGCTCGAGATAGGCTCGACTCAGTAATGGTATGGTTGTGTTCGGGTTCGAGCTTGAAGCTCGATGAGCCTTATACATGTGGCTCAGGTTTGACTAGATTATTGAAGATGTGATTGAAAAAATTTCTATTTAGATTTCTTTCAAAAGCAGAAATATAAACTGAACATATAACTATAACCCCTAAAATTGATTAACCAAACCTTTTTTATTAGACTGAAATATAACTTTGGGTATATAATTGATGCTTGAGAATGTCCTATCCAATTGTGTTTATATGCTCACCATTACATCCCAACATGAAAAGTGAAATAAGTTTATTTTCTAGACTGAAAAAATGTCCTATCCACTCTTGCCTTGAACTGAAGTTTGAGAATGTCATCCAATTGTGTTTATCTGTTTTATGATACTGTCATTTATTACATGTAACCCCGATCTTCTACACATGACATGTTTTGTCCAAATTCAACATGAGCATGTTCTAAACAGAGGCTTTCGGTGGCATGTACTCACCAGAAATACAAATATACTAAATAGAAATACAGTTATGCTTGACATATACTAAATCTAAGTGTTCTGGTAGGAATTAGCACTATAATATATGCCTTGGTTATAAGTTATAACTTCAGTATTTCACAATCTTTTTTTTTTGGTTCACTGCAGGCTGCATAGAAATGTTCCTTGGTATTGATTTAGTTAAAACCATACTTACTGTTAACAAATTGGAATAAGGCTGCTGAAGAAGCTTAATCAAGGTAATTCCATAAAATTATTGGTTATTTCGTATACAGATGATATTACATGAACTCCAAGCAAATTTAAAACTTTAAATTTTAGTTAAAGATGGTTTTTGTAGTTTTGGTCGGTTCTTAGATTCTAACTTGGTTCTAGGTAAAGACACTTAATTTAGTTTCTATATCCCATGCCTGCAAATTGAGAAATGTAATTGCCCCATAGATTGTACATAAGTTACTGTCCAAAGGCTAATTATTTTCATTGAATTGATAAGTTAGCAGATTTTTTTTTTGTATTCAATGTTTTCATTAACTATTAAGGGGGTCAAATTTGGTATGTTTTAAGCTTGAAATGGGGTCTTCTTTATCTTTTTCTGTCACTTACAAAGCACTTGGTTATTATCACCATATTTGAATTCTCTATAGATCAATTCACCAAGTTCGAATTTTTTTTCATTCATTTCCAAACAGAGTAATGTATGAACTAATATCACTTTAGCCAATACAATTCACTCAGGTTCTAAATTTGTATTTCATTTTTAGGGTTGGATCCTTCCTTTTTCGTTATATTTTTAGTGGTCTATTCCAATGCTCTATAAATTAGATAAATATGCCCTAACATTGCTGTTTAGCTTATGGCTAGTTAATTGGTTCGTTCAAATGATTCTGTAACTGCTTGCTTCTTTAAAAATCAAATTTAAATTCAGAAAATTCCGCAAACCTGTAAGTTTTAACATAGATATAATTTGCATTTAATTTATATAGGTGCTGGATAGCCTCGAACCCAATAGTACAATGTGAATACCACTGTGTTCAAGCTAGGCTAAAAAAAAAATCGAACTTCAAAACCTGTGCTTTAGGTTTGAAATCTAGCTTGAACTATAACAGTTCGAAAAAAAAGCCGGGTCCTTCAAACTTAAAAGCGCTACACAAAAACAACCCTATATGAGAAGATAACTTATTCATATTACCAATATGAAATCGTTGCCGAGGCCATGATACTTGACGAAGTGAAGTAGTCCACTTTCTTTACGATCGAGAAATGACGCGGGAGAATCTTTCTCGGTAACTTCCGTGCTCAGTGACAAAGCAGCTGAAATGCGGAGGGTAGGGAGCCGGACGGTGGAACAAACAGGGGCGCTGAGAGTATTTCGTGACACAGATAACGGAGTAGGATGTGGTAGTCTTGACGGAGCGGTTAAGAAGGAAGACAGCGACCAGTGAATTGGGGGCGTAACCGGAAGCTTCACGGCGGCGGGTATTTCCATGGAAGAAGACGATGACTGAGTGTGGAGCAGATGGTCCGGATTCCGGAATTGTGTAGAGCTCCGGACTCGAGTTTGGTGCTTTGACGGGAATGAGTTCCACCGGGTCGGATAAATTTTACGCCAATTCCACCTTCCTTTGGTAGCCGAGAGTGAAACTCGTACTTCCAATGCTCCGAAACGCAACTCGTATGTTTGGACTAACAGGGCCAACAAGGGATTGAACTGGATTGGCCCAATAGATTAATCGCACGAGAACCAAGCCTGTCCCAAATTGTTAAATTGGTGTGACGCTCGTGGGATCAAAAGTGAATTTTATTCTTTTAACTATTCGATCAAAATTTAATAAATCGGAACGGGAAGCAACCTGGAAAGGTAGCAATGCTCAATTGGACAGTATTGTTATGTAATTTAATCTATCTATGGATTATATAATTCAAAGCTACAATTAGGAAAGTTTGTCATGTGTTATCTTCAAAACAAATTTGGCATCCTGATTAGGGATAAGGGACAAATAAGCCCTCGAACTGACCAAAAAAGGTCAAATAAGTCCTTATTTAAGAGACTTTGTCCGGCCATCATCGTTTGGGGAGTTTTCTGATCGAATTTTTTGATGAAATTTTGTGAGAATCTTCTTCATTAAGTCTAGTTTATTCATGCCAAATTTCAGCTAAAAATTCAACCGGGAAGGCAGTCAAATGAGTTTGTGAAATATATTGCGATGTTTAACTGCACAGTTATCTTCAAAAATTCATTTGACTGTCTTCCCTAATGAATTTTTAGCTGAAATTTATTGGTATGGATAAACTAGACTTAATGGAGAAGATGCTCAAAAAATTTCATCAAAAAATTCCACCGGGAACCTCCCCAAACGACGATGATCGGACATAGCCTCCTATATAAGGGCTTATTTGACCTTTTTTGTTAGTTCGAGGGCTTATTTGCCCCTTTTCCTTACTAATTATATACTTCTGTTACATAAGGGATGTTTTTACTTGGACCGTAATTCGCTGGTCTGATCTGGTCTAAACTGGTCTGGTCTGGTAATGTCTGATTTCTTTGTATTTTTATAATTATCTAAGTTTGATCATGTCTGGTCTAATCTGGTTTAGTCTGGTTTGAGACATATTACAATCCAAGTAAAAACATCATAATACTTAATTTATTTAAGTTAGATTAGAACTAATTTTACCTTATTTCTAAGCTATGTATTGGAATCCTACGTAATTAAAACTTTCTAAAGGTATGCAATTCAGAATATAAAATCTCATATTTATTTTTAAGTGATATAATTTTTTTATTTTTATTGTGATTATTACAAAAATATATCAAAATTCATAAATTTTTACTATCTTTCATATGACACCAGTAATGCATATATATATATATATATATATATATATTATAAAAATTAATTCTATTAATTTTTTGCAATCTAGGATCATTTTTTTACTGTGTATACAATTAATGAGGACTGATACCTTAGAGTGAAAATGCACAAACTCCATCAGTTTTACTTATTGCTTTATTCTTTGCGGTAAAATTTGTGCAGTTTTATCCTAAGCTATCACTCCGATTAATAGTGTGCATGGTAAAAAACGATCATAAACTGCCCAAATTAATACGAAGTAGATCTTATTTATATATGTAACATTGATGTCATATGAAAAGTAATAAAAATTTAGGAATTTTGATATATATTTTGTAATAATCGTAGTATATAAAAAATGTTATGGCACTTGGAAAACAGAAGCTTAAAGTGAAATTATTTTTAATTTTTATATATTCAATATTGATGTCATATAAAAGATAACAAAAAAATATGAATTTTGATATATTTTTTGTAACAATTGTAGCACAAATAAACAAGTTATAGCACATTAAAAAAACATGGGATTTTATTTTGTTGGGCCCCCGATGAATTCTAATTGAACACGGAAAAATTTTCATTATTTATAATTGTATTTTTAAAATTTTTAAAATAATTCTTTGAGTGATTCTTTGTAATACATATACGGTGTGATATATTATTGTTGGATAATTGATACCCATATTGTATAAACAGGAGAGATTGGACAAGAATCAAAATGAGTAATGGAGAAGAAGAAGAAAAATGTGTATTGTGTATGAACTATGAGTTTTTGAGTTACAAGCCTCCTATAAGGAGTATATATAGGGAAAATCCGGGTCTGGACCTCTAATATGGGCCTGACAGACCCGGTTACATAAATGGACAGACAGTATAAAAAGCTAATCTAGAACATCTGAATAATAATAATAATAATGTACAATAATATTAATGATATCTGCTAAACGTGTGTGGGCCGCTGTCCAGGCCTAGTAGTCGGCATACCGGGGGGTCGGAGTCCATATAATCCATCAGGAGTCCCCCACTCCCTGAGTCGAGAGTACTCGAGGCGAAAGGGAGTAGTCCAAACTGTATCTGCAACGTTCTTCCTCTTCGGCCAGGGGACCACCACCCTTGTCCATTATGGGGAGGTGCCTCGTTAAAAACCTTTACTAGGAAAAACCCAGTGGGAAAAAATCCTAATAAAGGGAAAAAGAGTACACCTAGCGCCCCCAACATGAAACAAGGAAGGAAAATCCCCTCCGGCATAATCAATCTAGCTCAGCTCCTCTTCAACTGACTCAGTTCTCGTTCTTGCTCTTGCGTGATGTTTTCTGCTCATCTAGAAACTCTGACCCCTCAGTCCCCCAGTCCCCACTCTTTGAGGTGAGTGGAGACGAGGTGAAAATGAGTAAAGTCATCTTCGTACCTACACATTTATCATACACATAAAAATATTTTCATGGGATTTATGTTCCCGATCGGGAGTTTGTCACTTGAAACAAGTGGAGATGTGAATTGTTAATGTAATGATAAAATACTTAGTAGGATGGATGTGTGAGCCATTCGTAAGCAACGGTCGCCACTCGAGGAATGACTAAGACCGGTCTTCGTACCCGACTTGGTCGGGGTTTTGTCTTCATGCCCGACTTGGTCGGGGCTTTGTGCCTGAGGAGACAGGGCTTTGTGCCTGAGGAGTCAGGGCTTTAAATCCTAGTGATGGGTCTCAAGCCACACTCTACTAGGTATTTGATCATAAGTGCGTGATAGTGTGACATTTACCCGACAAAAGAAATTATTTAAATAAATATAAATAATATGAAAATTAAATAGTACTTATCTTTTTAAAGTGGACTGAATCTGTTGCAAGAACTGCGGCCCACCGTTTTTTTTAGACTGGTCCTGGACTAAATTTATCTGCTAGCCCACATATTTTAACAAAAGCTAGATATTTGCTCCGTATTTTCTCAGCCAGCCATCATGAGAGGAGTTAAGTCGTCCACATATGAGTTCTTTTAGGCCATATATCACAAAGGTGAATTAATTTAGTGGGTCAACTGATTTGTACTCCACTATGTTTTTCTTTGTCTGACCAAGAATCAAACCAGTTCCTCGACAACCTGTGCAGCACACCAGCTCACCAGCTCACCAGCACCATCTCACCACGAAGTCGCACTGGTTTGACCCACGGGAAGCATGAAATAGAAGAATCTGGGCCTACGGGAAGAGCAGATCCTTGATGCGGAGGCGAGAGGGATGGTGTACAGCTGGCGAAGCTTCCAGCCGGTCAGGGATGCCTTCCGTCGCCGGCGCTGTTGGATAGCAGGTTGCCGGAGAGAGCTGAGGACCCATTCGGTTCTGCCTCTACCTTCATCGCTGGAGAGTGTATAAAGGTTCCTCGACACTGCTGCTGCTTGATCGCTTCCAGCAGGGCCGGAGCCGCTTGGTGAAGAGCCCTTTGTCCGATCACCGAAACGCAACCATCCGCCTGCTCTGGTATGGTGGGGTGTGCCAAAGCGTCGGTTACGGCGGCCTGGAGCAGCTGCCGGCAAGGTCCAGAGATGCTTCAATGTTGGTGGCGAGATCTGGGGCAGACGCAGGCGTTTCTTCACACGGCGGCGTCGAGGGCTCCAATGATAGCTCTGGCTCAGGAGATTTCAAGATCCGAGCCTACTGGAGCAGCGGCAAGCTTCATCAGCAAACTGCGGCCAGCGAGATCTGTTAACGGATCAGCGAGTTCCAGCGGCAAGTTTCTGCCGTCGTGACGTGGCTTACGATTGCGGCCGGCGCCGACATCTCCATTACAGTGTTACATATCTCGTTTTTTTTTGCAGATCTTCAGATCTGTTTTTCCATCTTTTTGGTATTTTGGATGAATTTTTGTATTTCGGGGAGGATTTCTCACTTGATTGTGTTCAAACTCTCAACGAGAGCACCATTGTTGGATAATTGATACCCATATTGTATAAACAGGAGAGATTGGACAAGAATCAAAATGAGTAATGGAGAAGAAGAAGAAGAAAAATGTGTATTGTGTATGAACTATGAGTTTTTGAGTTACAAGCCTCCTATAAGGAGTATATATAGGGAAAATCCGGGTCTGGGCCTCTAATATGGGCCTGACAGACCCGGTTACATAAATGGACAGACAATATAAAAAGCTAATCTAGAACATCTGAATAATAATAATAATAATAATAATAATAATAATAATAATGTACAATAATATTAATGATATCTGCTAAACGTGTGTGGGCCGCTGTCCAGGCCTAGTAGTCGGCATACCGGGGGGTCGGAGTCCATATAATCCATCAATTATGTTTGGTAAAAAGTTACTCCCTTCGTCTAAAAAAGATTGACCAGTTTGACTTTTCTTGATCAATGGTATTAAAGTTAAAAAAATGATTTTAGGTATTATATTTGTGTATAAGTTATAAAATATATACTCTTATCAAAGATTGTTAAATAAAAAGCTCATAAAATTTTCATATTTCATTGGTAAAACTCGAGTACCATTAACTAAGAAAAGTCAACGTGGTCATTTTTTTGGGACAAAGGGAGTATTATAAATTAGATCTAGATACATGTATTCGAAATGTAAAATAAGTATAGCAATTTTTAAAAATCTTTAAAACTTTTCCAATAAGACGGTAAGAAAAACTTTTCCAATAATTTTAAAAATGCAATTAAGAATTGTGTAAATTTTGTCGTGTTCCATTAGAATTAAACAAAGTTTTATACATTAGTTATGTAAAATTTTCTCATTATCAAAACGGGCTCACGGATTAGGGTTGTGTTTGGCACTTTGAAATGTATGTGGAAAGTAATGTTTGAATTAAAGACTATTATCTAACCTATAGATTATTGTCTATAGCTAAATTTTGAAATGTTGCATCTGAACTGTTACATGAATGAGGTAAATTTGTTTGGCAAACAGAGTAAAAAATGCCTAATAATATGATCTGACCAGATCAGACCATACAAATCAGACCAAATCCGATTAGGACAAACAAATCAGACAAAAATATCGGTCCAATTTAAAACGTTTTGATGGAGTCCTTTCTAAATTAAAATTTAGAACTCTATATATATATATATATATTAAATTAGAATTCAATAAATCTTCTGAAAGTATTCATGAGTAAATTTTGGAGTGAGTTATGTTACCTTACTATGGAGTTATATAATCATTATACAAGGAGAAGTGAGATAGACGTACAACAATAAATGGTTTTTTTTCCTAAAATATAACTAAAATAAAACTTATTTACACAAACATGACTAATAGTTATTACAATGTAGTGTCATGTTAACATACTTTTAAAAATTGAACATAAGTTATTATTATCCATTACTACTCTAATCACCAGTTATATTTTTGTAAACATAAGTTATTACTCATAAATGTGTAATTGTTTCAAAATAAATTAGCTTATTATGAAGCTAATCATTCACATTTTAAAAATATTCATGAGTAAATTTTTATTTGTCACCAAAAATTGAGATGATGACACATGATTAATTTGGTACTAAAACGCAAAAAGGGGACTTATACAGAAAACTTCAAAAGTTAATTTATTGATAACGATCTAATCAAGAAAAACAAATCTTAAAAACAATTCAAAATCATGAATAAGAATTATACAGAAAACCTCAAAATCTAATCTATTGATAACGATCTAATCAAGAATAACAAATCTTAAAAACAATTCAAAATCATGAATATGAATTTTAAGCACCCCCTAATCATTTCAATAAAATTGGTTAAAAATTATAATAACTTCCAAGTCATCCCTAAAATTGAAAAAAAGTGAAACATCATAAAATGAAAGTGGGACAAATTAAAATAGCAAGCTCTGCATGTGTTAATATTTGCTAAATATAAATTTGTCTTAACACTATATCAAATTAAGTATATTTTCAATTGGAATTAGATTTTTTATCTCATTTATTAAAGTACAAGTTATTTTTATTTTAGTGTATATATATAGTAATATAATATTGATACATTTTGGTCGAGAGTTTCAGCTCTCATACAGTTTTATTAATTACACATATAACAATCATATCATGACACTAAACGTGGTGTTTAAGAGCTACATGAATAAGTTAGATTGTATATAAAAAGTACGGAGTAATTCTTCCATTCATGGATGTAAGTATGTAACTTTAATATAGTACTATTTGATCATGAAAATTGAAATCATTTTTCTCGTTTCTGACTATGTGGCATTTGTCTTTTTTATTCTTCAATGCATAATTTGACATGCTTATGTTTTGATTATACCTACATCTTGATGTGATGAGAATCTTTTTATAAGTTTTGTTCATTTGACCTTCTAGATAAAAATTGTTTATTAAAAGTTTAACGCATGCAACTTTTCTTCATTTCAATAACACTTGTTTTATTATCTTCAATAACTCCATCTAATGAAAAATAAATCGATCGTTGCCAATCACAATATGCAACCCATTGTGGCCGCCATCGCCTTCATTAAAATCGGAATGTCACAAAACCAGATATTCTAAACTCTTTTCTTAAAGAACATTGCCAAAAGACAACAACAACAATAATAATATTAATAATAACAACAACAATCCAAGCCTTAATCTCAAAAGATTTTGGGGTCAGCTAACATAAGTCAATTCATGATATCGATGCCAAAAAAAGAAGACAAACAAGAAAAAGAGAAAAAAAAAGTAAGGTATAACGGATAAGATAAAGATACATAGATATAAGATAACAATAACACAAGAATATAAGAAAGATAAAAAATAAAAAGATAAAAGAGCATAAAAAGCTAGAAGATAAAAATAAAATAAGAACCTAAAACAGTAAGCCGTACTTAGATAATTAGTTCAAAAATAAGGCATACTCAATAAATTAGAATACTCGTTTTAAACAAATGTTGTAATCAACTAAATAAAGATTTTTCGTTAGTAAAACTAAACAACATCTTATTCATCAAGTCTAGTTTACTCATTCCAAATTTCAGCTAAAAATTTAATCGGGAGCGCATTCAAATTAATTCGAGAACGCAAAAATGCGCAGTTATCTTCAAGAATTTATTTGGGATCGGCCCCACCATGAGCATGGTGTGCCGATCCCAAAACGGCAGCGTTTTCTTTATTAATTAAAACAGGGAGTGAAGAAACCCTGAAACCCATCGTCTTCTCCAACGTAACTTCTATCCTTGCGGCCAAACATCAATTTATTTCCTGACATGAATGCTCTTGAACCTTCCTGCTCAATCAAATTCATTTATTATACTTTGTATATATGTATTATAGATAGGAGCCGCCGCCTTGGATATCGTTTCCGCC